GGGGGGGGGGGGGGGGGGGGGGGGGAGTTGAAGTGGAGGCAGTTCACGCAAGGCAGGAGAAGTGTGAGGTTCTCGCTGAATGATCGTGCAGTCCTCACTTAATGACTGCAACTGGGACTCCTGGAACTGTCATTGCTAAGTGATGTGGTCATGTGATGTTTCGCTTAATGTCCGCTTCACTTAGAGATGGAAATTCTGATCCGAATTAGGATCACTAAGCAAGGACTACCTGCACAGGGACAGGGAGCTACAGTAAATCTGACCTGAAGGCTGTCTCCATCTTCTCCAATATACTAGTACAGGTAATCCTCATTTAGCAACTACCTCATGTTGCAACCATTTGCAGTTACGACAGTGATGAAAAAGTAACTTTGCCACCCGTCCTCACATTTACAGTCTTTGCAGATCTGTAAAGGAAAGCTGAGGAAAGATCATAAGCACACTTAGTGACCACTTTGCTTAATGACCGAGTTGCCAGTCCTAATTGTGGTTGCTAAATGAGGACTACCTGTAGATGGGGCTTAATAAAATGTCAGTCTCTCCTTTAATTCCACTCCTTTTGAAAACATGTACCAGAGAAGCTAGTAATTCACTCTATCAACTTAAGTAACATAAGGAAATAAGGGAGCTAGCATTCTAAAATAATTAATGCTGCCAAGTCTCCTCTCCAAAAGCCACCAGGTATGATCTTTAATGTGTTTTACCATAAAGCAAAGTAAGGCTTACACACACACGCATGCACACACACAATTACAGCTATAAAAATAAAAAATATCCTTTTATGTCATCAAAAATCTTTCTAAATTGCCTTCTCCTTTCATTGTTTCTCAAACCTTTTTAAAAATTTCTTTTTCCTTATACACCCTCACACACACAAATACACATTCTATAAGCATTGATTTCTGACACAATTTTGACAGTTAGAATTATTTTGAATTATGAGTAGTAATTAAAAAAAGAACACATGGCTTATAGTCATCAGTTCTGTCTTTTAACATATGATCCCTTACACTGAAATTGAGATTTAACTTGCTGAGCTCAATATCTGGCAGATTAGGATACCTTCTGTAATGTCTGTGCTGGTATTTCTTTCACATTCTTCTTTGGAGTACTGCTGTTGACCCCATCTTCTTCACCAAGTTTAAAGAGCAGCTCTTGAAATAAGAATAAATAATACATTGTGACACCTAATATTCAAGTAAAACAATACTAAGGCATTATAAAGAAATGAGTTCATTAACTAAGAATATTGTAGTCTATTTTCTTGTCAAGCCATCTGGTCAGTCTCAAATCTGACTTTTAAAAAATCTTATGCTATATAATTCTTGTAGCATGATTTTTCACCAGCTTTTCAAAGGCACAATAGATGTACAGGTATCCCTTGACTTACGACCACAATAGGGACTGGAAAATTCATTGTTAAGTGGTGAGGTCGTTAAGCAAGATGTCACATGACCGCCACTTGCAACCTTTCCTGCTGACTTACCCATTGACTTTGCTTGTCAGAAGCCAGCTTGGAAGGTTGCAAAAATGGCAATCATGTGACTGCAGGACGCTGCAATCATTGTAAATGCGTGACGGTTGCTAAGCACCCGAATCATGATCATGTAACTGCGGGGACGCTGCAACCATCCTAAATGCAAGAACCAGTCATAAGTCACTTTTTTCAGTGCTGTCATAATTTTGAATGGTCGCTAAACGAATGGTTGTAAGTCGAGGACTATCTGTATAGTTTAAAGATGCTATACTTCTGTTTGCATCTTCATACTTTTTTAGATTATTCCTCTGTGCCAAAGAAAGAGAATTCACTATCTTTATATCTATATAGTCACTTGTAGTTTTGTTCTCTGATCTTATCCCGTCTCAGGAGGATTAGAGTGGCTGGTGAACAAAGCAAACAAAACCTTATGGACCACTTATAATGGACAGAATTTTAACCTCTTGTTTTTGTAAGATGAAATATACACTTTATAGAATAAATCACATATGACATTCCACTGAAATGTTAGATTCAAAACAATTAAAACCTCAAAAAGAAATCAACTGATGACCAATAATTCTATACATCACTTTGAACACTTGGCAATATCACAGGCTACTCCTCAGTCTAGCTCCAAACTTGACACCTCAAAATTGGCTTGTATAATGGATTAACCATTATGTAGAAAAAGGATATCGTCTGAAATATGAACTCTACAAAATGATAATTGCTCAAAAATTTATGTATTAACTGCTGTATGAAAATCCTTTCTGATAGAGTTCTAATATTTTTCATAAGTCATTCCAATTAACTATCTACTGGAAATTGTCAGGATCAAGTGAAAAGCCATTCACCTACAAATACCTTGCCCTGATTTTCATCCCTTAATGACTATACCACCAAATTTGCAGCCTGCCCAAAAGTTGCTCCAATATTTTCCAATGATGTCAGTGCACACATTCAACTGCCTTTCATAAAATGCTCAACAACAGAGAAATTGTAAGTAGGTTATATAAAGGAAACTAATTACATCAAAACTAAGTTGTAAATATTAGGAAATAATATTCCTTATAAAATATATCTATGAATATGGGGTAAACATTTCCTTTAACGACCCCATTCAGCACTATAAGTAGACAGAGTAGGTCAAGTATGATCTTCAATTTACAAACAAAGCACAAGTGGAAGAAAAACATGCTACTCTCTGTAGGTTAGCAATCATCTTGGCATAAACAGTGACTAACAAGTTTGTTAGAGTGAATTAGCCCTTTCTTTTGTCTTTGGAACTTGTCATGCCCAATTAAAACTTCTGTGTTCGTGAAATAAATGGAGCAATACTCTAAAGATAACCAAAGTGGAAAAAATTGTGCAGCTGGGGAATATATACCTTTACCTTGATATGAATCTATTTTCACCCATGTTAGTTCCAAGCATAGTCCCTTAGCACAGTGGTACTACATACATTTTCTACTTTTAATCTTTTTCAAAATATTCACTCATTTGAATATCAATTGTAGCTTTTACATCTACATTTACTTTTCAGAGATTTTCTTTTAGTTTTTAATAATAAACTGATCAAAGCACTCAATCATATAACAGAATTAGATATATGAATTATATACAACTACTATATCTAACAAATACTCTATATTTTAAGTAGACTAAAAAAAAATTGAAAAAGGATCTTAATATTTTTCCATGATCCAGAATGTTAGGGATTCAAAATGTAACAGACGTCAGTGAGACTCATTAAAATGTTCATTTCAGTCAAGCAAAACAATATAAATTTTATCTGCCAGAATGCACACCACATATAGTAACATCATCATCAACATCATCTCCAACCTTTTGGAGGAATGCTGCTGCAAAAAGCTCTAGCTAGCCCTGTAATTCTGTTCAAGACCATTTTTTCCCCCTACCCCTCCAGTTCCCTGAGGTCTTCCCTTCTGGAGCTATATAACAATATGGTCTTGTTTAATGCAAGTAGGACCACTTAAAAAAAAGGTCCTTATGTTATGCTATCTCCCCAAATACATATCAGACCACTTGAATTTGTGATTACATGATATTATATCACTTAAAAACTTGACTTATTTTTGTATTATTAATACTGACTTTTGCCTGTGGCAGCAAACCTAAAAAAGTGCTAGTCAGACACAAACGTAAGTCTGGTTTCATAATCTTCAATTATAGTTACTAAGGAAAAATATGAGCTGCCAGTAAATTGCCAGCTGCCAATATTAGCATTTACAGGACCAGTGTGATTTAGTTTAATATAATAACCAGAATAATGAATCAATTATGAAAGTGGAAGAGGTTCTAAAGAATATTGTTTCTTCATTCATCTGAAGGGATCAAAATGTGTTATCGTTACAAAAAGCAAAGGAAACTATGAATGTGAACTGTAAAATAATTGCTGTGTTCATAATTTGGATTATAGACTTTATAATAATTTTTCATATGCAATCCATATGAACAGCACCTAGAGACTTAGCTCAAAGCATACAGGTGGTCCTCACTTACCAATAGTAACTGGGACCAGGAACTCTGTTGCTAAGCTGTTGTTGTCTGTTGTTGTCATAAGGCGCGACATCACATGACAACACCAACTTACAACAGCAGTTCCATCAGTCCCAGTTGCTGTTAGGCAAAATCCATGCAGTTGCAGCGTCCTGCAGTCACTATTTGTGACCTGCTGCTGGCATCCCCACTGACTTTGCTTGTTGGAAGCCAGCAGTGAAGGTTGCAAATGGCAATCACATGACCACAGGCTATTGCAACCATCGTAATTGTGAGCTGGTCGCCTGAATTGCAGTCAGGACACTGCAATGGCCACAACTACATGTACCTGTTGTAAGTAGCCCTTGTTATGTCATAACTTCAAACGATTGCTGAATGAGTGTATGTTAAGCAAGGACTATCTGTAGATTGTCATGATGGCTGAATCAAACTTACCTTCTCTTTCTTGCTGCAGACACATATTCAACTCTTGTATTATAGTTTTATCTCTAGAGACATGCACTTTCATCTGATCCAGTTCCTCCTCTAAATTCAGTCTAGAAATACACACAAAAATTTAGTGTTCTACAGAAAGAATGCCAAAAAAGTCAAATAAGTCACATGCTACAAAAATCTTAAACGGAATCAAAACTGTGGAACTAAATTTGATTAATGCAATAGATTCACATAATCAGACTAATATGGAAAATAGGTATAGAATAGAAGGATATATCCCAATTCAGTGATACAAAAGAGTCAATATTTCTGTTGGGGAGGAGGGAGGCAAATCTGTAGCAGTCTAAATGTTTTTGAACAATTCTTGTCATTTTGAGATATAGAGTCAATGTTCAGGAGTGAAGGAGATAATTATCTATCAATACTTGGAGGACATAATTTCACATCACATTACAGTAGAATAAAACAAGAACTGGTAATAATAAAATATGAATGTAAACATTCCAGGGACTGTATCAATGCCTACCCTGCTCCAGGGTCTATTGAAAGAGCCAGGACTTTAAAGTTTTGTGAAAACACAACAGGATGAGGGCCGGACTTCTGAGAGAAGTCACATCCACAGATAAGGTCTGTCTTTTTGGCACAACCACAGAAAAGGTCTGTCTTTTGGGTCCTGTAAGATGACAAAGTAATGACTGAACAACAACAACAAGATGACAATCCTTTACAGATGGGACCTGAAATGATCCAACTGTGTCATATCTTACTGGATGGGCATAAACAACTAGAGAAAAGTAGTCTCATGTGTACTCAGGTCCTAAGCCATGAAGGGCTTTATAGGTGACAATCAACACCTTCAATTGCACCTGGAAGCATCAGTGCAGCTTGTGGAGTAGAGGAGTTACATGCACAAAACAGGAAGCACCCATACCTCATTTCAAGTTCCACTATAGCACTGGATGGGGTGACACTGCCTTAGTGCACAGTGTGGAGGTCCTTCTGGACTCACGACTCCTGCTTGTGGCAACTTCATGTTGTGTACCAGTTGTGCCCATTCCTGGATCGTTAGGCTCTGCTCACAGTTACTCACATCCTGGTCACCTCCCAAACGGACTCTTGTAAAACGCTCTATGTGGGGCTGCCTTTGAAGAGTATCTGGAAATTTCAGCTGGTGCAAAAGGTACCAGCAGGGGCAGTTATGTGTGCCCCTAGAAGGCCACACAGTATACCTCTGCTCCATGAGCTGTGCAGGTTACTAGTTTGCTTCTGGGTCCAATTCAAGGTGCTGTTTTTGACCTTTAAAGGCCTACATGGTATGGGCTAGGTTATCTGAAGGACTGCCCTCCCTGATTACATCTACCCATCCCATTAGGTCCAGCAGGAAAGGAATATTGTGGGTCCCATATCTCACTTTTGGTGAGGTATTTCCTATATCCTTGAAGGAGGCATTGATGCACTTTCTCCGTAGAAGCCTTCCTTGGATCTTGGTGTGTTAGATAACTGTCACCCTGTCTCCAACATTTCCTTTTTAGGGAAGACTACTGAAACCATGCTTGGGAATCAATTTCAGAGCACCCTAGGGGAAGCAGATTATCTAGACTCTTTTAAATCAGGCTCCTCACTTGGGCTTCAGATGAAAACTGCCTTGGCTGTGCTGGCTGAGACCTCTGTTGGGATCTAGAGGGGGGACTGCACCCTTTCTGATCCCATTAGACCTCTGATGTACTTTCAATATTATTGACCATGTTATCCATCTGTACTGTCTGTATGGGTTAGAGATTGGGGGGAATGTGTTCCAGTGGATCCATTCCTTCCTCATTGGGTAGTTTCAATCAGTCATTGTAGATGAAGAGAGATCTGCCTGTGGCCTTGTACATGTAGGACACATTTCTTTCCCCCTCTAGTTTTTATCATCTACATGATGCCATTGTAATAGTTCATCCACTGGTTCAAGATGTGAACCTGCTGATGATACCCAAATGCCCATCACCATCAGACTGCTCTGGTGAGGAGTCTGGGTGGGAGTTAAGTTAAAGCTGAGCCTAAGCAAGACAGAGTTACTGTTTGCTCATAGTAGTTCTTTTTCTCAAAGGGGTGGCATTGCCCCTGAGGGAAGACATCCATGATTGATGGGTTCTCCTAGACTCAAAGTCCACAGCCTCCAACTGCTTAAAGGGGCAGTTGGGGGCTGTGGCTAGAAGGATCTTTGCCCAGCTTTAGTTGGTGTACCAGTGATGGCCCTTCCTTGACCAGAAAAACATGACTACAATAACTCATGCCCTAATCACTACTTAGACTTCTGCAATACACTCTACATGGGCTACCTTTGAAAACTACTCAGAAACTTCAGATGGTTCAAAATGTAGCAAACTGCTATATATGCTTTTAGAGATTAATTTCTATAACTATATTATACATATTTTGCAGGCCCTGCATTGATTGTCAATAGGATTCTGATTGCAATTCAGTGCAAAGCACCTAGATATTTAAACAATTGCCTACACCAATGGATTTGACCCATCTAAAAAAGGTATTTCGGGGAAAAGCAGCTTGTGATACCCAAGTTTCAAAATGTGTGGAGTGCTGTGACACAAAGACACTACCTTTCCTTGGCAGTCCCTACATTATGAACAGCGTCCCTTTAGAAATTAGGCTGGCCCCTTTGCTGATGGCCTTTTGGAAGCTTTTAAATATACAGCATCAGGCCCTTGGAGAATGATGAATTGTCATTGTATATTTTCTATTACTAGGTACTATAACTGTTCTTATTATTAAATATTGTTTCTTTAATGTTTTATTACACTCTAGATATTTTTATTGTATTTTAGTATGTTGTAAGCCACCATGAGTCTTGAAGATTTAGTGCATACAAATGGACAAAAATAAAAATAGCTGCTTAGCTCCATAAACTGGTAAAAGTATTATGTACTAGCACTTTCTCATTCAGATCAATGAGTCTTCTCAGATATTCTGAGATCAGTACAAGTTAGACAAATTTAGAAGTGTTAGCATAAAAACTACCTTTTCAAGCTACCTAAAAACAGAACTCCAATGTTTCCTCAATGAACCTTCATAATATTGCTGAATTTTTTGCCCTTTTATTCTGTTGTCAATAAAGATGCCATAAATTGCAGGTAGTCCTCGCTTAGTGACCACAATTGGGACCAGCAACTTGGTCATTAAGCAAAGTGGCCTCTGAGTGAAACTGCAACTGTGCTTATGATCTCACTTCAGCTTTACTTTGCTTCACAGACCTGCAAAAGTTGTAAATATGAGGACTGATTGCAAAGTAACTTTTTCATTACCATCATAACTGCAAATGGTCGCTAAATGAGGAAGTTGCTAAATTAGGACTACCTATAAGACTGCAAAGGATGGCATAGCTCAATATGCTTTTACTATATCCACCCAGTTATTTAAGACTATATGATCTGGTATAATCTTGAACCAGACATGATTTTTAAGCAATCAAATCTAGGTATCACAAAACACTTTCCCTTTGCTCCTCCATCATTAAGACTCAGTTTCTTTGCAATTGCGTTTCTTTGCAATCAGGGCAAAACATGTTCTTTCCAAAGGTCTGTATGTATGCTTGTCAACTGACAGCACTGGAAAGCAAGAACAAATCTTGGAGCAAGTTCTGATCTCTGCTATGTGAGAAAGCAAAAAACTATCACACACATTGGGGAATAAGACCACCAAAAGAATGTCAGCAACAATAACAAAATAGTATAAATATACCTTAATTTTCTTAGTCTTGTTTATATTTCTGAAAATGATTTATTTTAAATGGTTTGAACAATATCCTTGGTTAATTTGGGCTATCTCAAAGTGACTTCAGTTTGGTAATGCTCAACTAGTCCAGGATCAACATATCCTAGATCTTCCAAAATGAGTTTGCTGAATAGCCTGTGCAAATTACAGCTGGTTGAATTTAGAACAAATAAAGCCTGGGGCAACCTAATCCTATGTGGGTGGCATGAGAAGTCTTATGGAAGATTGTCCACCATTTCCAAAGCCCTGCCAGCTTACCATTCAAGATAGACAGTAGGAGAAATAAAGTTATCTCCTTCATCAGTTGTGGTTTGCTTATTATTTTCCCTGCTGAGAAGGATATGATCCTGAAGCTAGACAGGGAATGAAGGAACCTTGGATCCCACATTTCTGTTTCACAAGATCTGAAGGTTATTATTGTACCCATAATTTCAAGACTTTATGGAAACATTTTAATTGACAAAATGTACACTTGTTTGAACACATAATTCTTAAAAATAAATAACTGAATGCATTGGTCTGCTCAGTATATAGCATCTGAGTAAAAGCATTCTTGTTCATAGTTAATGATCATTCAAGTTGTTTCATTTTTCCTTGTTTATGCATAAGATTTTCCCTTATGTTTTAGCAGACAGATGTGGGTATATTATCAAGAAAAAAGACCCTACCACATATTTAAGAATATATACTTGAGATTTTCTATATACATTTAATTATTTGTTTCTTTCATTTTTAAATCACATATCAGCAGTAGGTCTGATTTTTTGTGTCTATACTCCTACAGATTGTTTTAAACAATTGGTTTGAATTTAATCTTTGGAATCAAGTAGAATGACTTAAGATGCATACTTATTTCTATCCAGTGCTCTGATATTGTACTATAATTTGTAATTGTTATAGAACAGCATTCTGGTCTGTTTGATAGCTTTTACAGCCTTTCCCTACTCCTGCCCTATGTTTGATGGCCAAGAAATGAGAACGCAGCAATGGGATGAACAAAAACTGCAGCAGGTTAAAAGCAAGTTCTTACTCAAACTAAATTAATTAATGAAAAAATCCAATAGGGGTATGATTTTTCATGGTATGCCATATGATTATGGGGTAGAATAACAAAACAAAAACAAAAACAAATTTAAATCTGCACAAAACCTATCTGGAAATTAACTATATTACCTCTTAAAGGCCTATTTAAATACTGCATTCTCTGCATAGTGTATGATGATGGCAGCATGGAAACCAATCATTGTTGGAGCAACTGCTCACCTGATATTTTTTGACAGACATCAGAGCAATGTAGGTTCAGACCACACTGAAACTACTCCAATATTGCAAAGATAACATTTGAATTAAACCTCAGTGGGTTCTAATCAAACCTAAAGCACAAAAGGAGGAATTTACATTTTATTGCTACATTAACATTCAACCTTAGTTCCCTTTGAGTGAGTTGCTAATAAATCATATTGGTAAGTTCTCACAACTACAAATTCTATGTGAAAAATACTACTCATTACTTCAATTTGACAAAAGAGTTACTCTGCAGCATACCTCAATCCACTTAAGACCAAGAAGTAGGAGTGACAAAAACTCAAAATCTCTTACTGTTTAATGGTAGTTAGAATTATTAAAAAATAATTTCATACCTATCTGTAGTAACCTCTGTGAAACACTTTCTATTTAGATAATACTTTCCTCATTTGTACATAAACTCTTTCATAGGAGACCCATCCCTGCCCACAAGAACATGTGGCAAATCTAAAAACACTATAAAATTACAAAATCAATCACAGCAACAGTTTTTCTTCTCTGGTCCCAAACATTTCTTATATTGATCATCAGCAAGAAGATCCAATAAAAGAAAAGCTCCTTTTCCACACTACTTTTTCCCCAAAATTAAAATTCCAGGCTCATCCACAGCAGCTTTCCTTCAAAATCATGCTTAAGTAAATGGGCGTATGTACACCTTGAGATAAATGAAGGCAACGGTTAACAACAGAAAGGATTTTGGCAGAATTTTAATTTTGGAAATAGAATTGATATAACTTTTTAATAACAATTCTCATATTATTTCTTCTCTCTGTATTCTTGGAACAATGGTTGGGAGAAACATGACATGGTTGAAGAGAAATAATTAAGGGACGCTTTGTCTCTTCTCATTCAGTGAGTTGATCCAGTCCACCCTACCCAGGCAAAGAAAGATGCTACATAAATAAAACCAATAACTTTTTTTACTGCTTGTGTTTCTTGTATCATGTTACTTAACATCACATTTAGCATATCACATATTAATTCATTTTCTCCTTGCTAGCACATATACTCTATGATAGGTAGCACTGCTTGAATGCAGGTAAAACGTATGAACTGGTCTTAAGATAGAAGCTAACTGGGCATGAAGGTATGATTTGTCAAATAAAAACATTATAATGGTCATATTATTTGCATTTACAACCTCAAATAAAGACGTAACAAGAAGATGTTCTCTTTTTGTTCCCATGCATATTGCCACCACTGGCAGCTACAAGCACAAAAGAATTATGCTATTTCCAGTATTTTAATTAACTATAGAAATTACTATATTAACTTACATGGGAATTATAAAGCCAAGTGAGACAGGCAAGTTGAGAGAGGGGATGGAAAAGAGAGGAAAACAATTTAAATTTCATAGAAAAAACTGTTCAGTATCAGAGCTATGAGTGAGAACTTTTCCGTGTGTTTATTGGCAGAAAATAGGCTTTCTCTTCCTCCATGTTGAAACACAACACCTTGAGATATGGTACTGAGCAGTCATAAAAGGCATTTGTTTTATAGTAAGTCTTCCCTGGAATGGGAATTTGAACCACATACCTTTTTTTAAAGGGCTCAGTAGCTACAAAAAGGATATAAGTACACAGTGGTTTTATTAAGAATGCTCCCTGGCCTCAGCACTTCTCAAAATAGGCACAATACAGTACAGACTAATATAGTACTATTTCAGAATATAGATGCCAAAGATATGGCACTATCAGTTTTGAGGAGATTCTGCACACTGCAAAGCTCATTTACAATTGCTGTAGTACTGAAGATCTAGAAGAAGTTCTGAGAAACCCCTAGATAAGCATCTAAGATACTATGCTAAGAACAGAAGGCGCGCGCAGCCACACCCACACCCAGAGTCTAAATTGCACTTTGTAAAATCTATGGTAGATATATAACAAAAAAGGCTAAAATGATGATAGAAATTATCAATTAGCTCAGTAAGAGTACAATAAACCCTTGATTTAATGGACCTGGCTTAGCAAACTTTGGGTGCATAAAATAAGCATGAGTAAAATCCCTTTTGGATGTAACTGACATTCTGGTTCAGTGGACACATTGGTCTGTTAAATCAAAGTTTTACAATATTTTACTCCACAGCTAAAAAGCAGTTTGGAAGAGATCCTAAATTTAGGATCAGGGCATTTAGAGTTTTTTTCCCCCATGAGTGATTAAGGATAAATCTTTGAAAAACTTAATAGATATTAATATCATGCAGCTTTTCCGTTCAAAATAGTGATCAAATTTCAAGTCAGATAAAATACGTCTGAGACAATGTATTAGCAGGTGCTACTGAAATCTCCAAAGCAATATGTCCATTATCAAAAAATATAGTCACTTCTTTTTTTAGTAGGGACACTGATCATTCAAAATCTTCATGGGAAATATAGTAATTAATTTATAAGCTTTCTAGTAGTGTTACCAGATCTGGGCTGCAAACAGACAGCCAAATACTGTAGATGCATCAAAAAGGCCCAGAAAGCCCTTACTCTTTACTGTCATCCAGAGCTCATCTGGAATTTTGTAGCCCAGATATGATATCTCATCTTTGTAATTGCTGATAGTTGTTTCAAATGGAAACAAATTTAAAGACTGAGCAGTGACCATTTTAAAAATCAGGAATTTACTTCAGATTAATCACAATATAGTTAATACAAAAACTCTGAATAAATCACTCAAGTTTTATTTCTGCTAGTGTTACAGTTTGGTGTAGTGGTTAAGGTACTGGCCTAGAAACCAGGGGACTGAGTTCTAGGCCTGCCTTAGGCATGAAAGCTGGCTGGTGAGTTTGAGCCAGTCCCTCTCTCTCAGTCTAACCCATCGGTTGTTGGTGTAGGGAAAATAGGAGGCAGGAGTAGTAGGTATGTTCACTGACTTCAGTTGAGAAAAATAGGTAGATAGGGATCAAATAACAACAACAACAGTTTACATCCTTCGACAATACCTTTAAACACCATCAAACAACATCTGCCTATCCCAGGTTTTTGGGAAGGGCTGGATAGGTGGATAAAATGCCACACCCAGTCTAAATATCTGGCTGACTGTGTGACCAACGATAATAATAATATAGCAGTTTCCATCATAAACTTCCTTGTGCTTCTTCCAATAATATCAAGGTTTCAATAAATCTAATGTGTTGTTCAACACTGCTTTGTTTCTGTGCATAGTCTTAGGAAGAAATATCAGAATAATGCATTATGCAAAACATATTGCCAGAATAGAATATCCATATCGACTGCCATACCAGGATTTTGTGGTCGAAATGATATTGAATAAAATTAATTTCAGAAGTTTGAAAAAAGCAGCAAAGATTACATTTTTAATTGTGGAATATTCAGAATTTCCATAGAGAGGTCTCACAACAGTAGCTACGTTGTCAAAGATTAGATATACCAGCATGGTGCTGTCCAGAAATCTTAAGACCAACTTTCAAAATTCCCAAGACAGTTATGTTTATTGGGAATTCTGAGATTCACAGTCCTAATACTTCTGGAAGGCACCAAATGAGGATCAATAACTTAAGACGGTGTTTATTACCTCAGGGTTCTTCTTGCTATTTAAGAAGTTACGAATGATCAAAACTTCCAATGGAGGTTGGAATTATATTTCCCAACAAGATCTTATTGTCATAATCAGCACAAATGCAAAACATATGATGTTGTGAACTTAATTTTATTAGGGTAGTTCTAACAGCCAAGTGAATGGCAATCTTTAAAATTCCACAGTTGTGCTAATATTCTGGTTGCTTTAAAAATGCAGGCACAAGCCTGAGATGTCTCAAAAGAACAGAAAACTGTTCAGAGTTTCAAGCGTTCTCATCACTAAATTACAAAATCAACTTGACAAAGGACATTTTAAAACATCATTAAAAGGCTAATTATGCAATGCCAACCAACTTCCTTTTGTCTAGTATGAAAGGGAAACTTCTTACTTTACCAGGGTGAATATAATAGTCTGTGAATTATAAGATCAAAGAAGCAAACTGGATGTTTTCTAAAGTAAGAATTCCTTCACCAAGTTTTACCCTTACCACAGCTAAAAGAGCTGTGAAAGGGATCAGCACTAAACCCGAAGGACAGGCTGTGCACAGCAAGAAAGAGAGCAACTCCCCCGTGCTTTTTGCAGGTCACTATGAAGGACCATGTTAGCAGATCTACTCCAGACCCTTAACAGGCGGCTTTGTTGCTACCAGTAATTAGCTTGGACAGCTCTGGCTCCAAGAGTAGCAGCAAGGCTACACCATAATGAGCTCAGCTGGGATTAGCAGGACAGGGCAAGGAACCAAGAGAGCTGAGGCATTCTGCATTGCGTATGTATCAAGGAGATCAAACAAGGATGGCTGGCTAGGTTATCCCCTCACCACCTCATTCCAAAAATGAAGCACGGCAGTGTGTAAAATACAGGCTAATGAAGAGCGACACCTCCAACAGATGAGAGCCACATTAATTAACACAATCCCTAGCTCATGCAAGACTGTTTCATTTAGTGCTAGCAAACTTATTGTCACTGATTTAAGGGTGGGCTATGGAGTGGGGGTAGGAAGAGGCTAATGTTTTGCTTCTCTATTTCTGGTAGAGAAAGATGATTAAATTTTTGGTATTTGAAAGGAATTCTTTGTTTGGCCTTCAAGACTCTGCAAGAAGAAGGTAAGCAAATCAACCACACACTTCTAAATGTATATGTATTTTAAAATAAACTCACTTTTCAATCAACAGCTTTTTGTGTTCTTTTTTAAAATATGCCAGCTCATTCCATACTGCATCAGAATTTTCTTGACGCAGATGCTGAGGATCTGAATGTTCTTTTCCACTCTTACTGTTTCCAGGCCTGTAAATTTAAGAAAACAATTTTCTGTGAAATAAATCAATTTTAAATACCAAATGAAAAAAGTAGTGCTTCAACACTTGATATTGCAACATTCAGTGAAATTACTGAAGCTCTCCTAAATGTTGATCTAAGTAAATTAATCTAAAAAATATAAATTGGAGATGGGGTACCACAGTTGAGACTTGATGTGTTTTTGATAATAGTGTTCTCTCTCTCATATAGCTGAAAGAGAGAAATAAAAGGTAAAGATGTCATACAGTCTCACGGAAAGGTTAAGTATTGCCTATTTTCCTAGTTTCTTGTACCAACCATTCTTTAACTGAGGCAAACTCCTGATCTGAACAAACAATGTAAACTCGTCCTATTTTAAAGCAGAAGAATACTAAATACTTTAGAATCCTATATTAAAACAGAGAAGCACGGTGGAGAAAGAAGATGATTATTAGAGAAATATAAGTAAAGACATTGAATTATTTTAAACCTTCTACAGAGTTAAGAAAAATGCAAACATTCCTCTTGATCTGCAAATCTGAAATCTGAGAAAAACAGGGAAATGGTAAAACCTAAATGATTTAAAAGGCCACTAGTTGTAAAGCCAAGTAGTCAGAATAGTTACAGACAGCTGTGAAAGCAAGATAGAGATGATTTGGATAAAGAAAATGGTTGTAGCAGCTATGGCCAGAAATACTGGAAATCAATAATAAAAAAGAAGGTTATGGTATTAACAGTTCACATGCTTAGAATCTGGATCACACTGAATGAATCAACAGGACAAGCTAACAGAAATTTGGCAGCGGAGTTGGGCAAGGGAAGTCATAGTGGAGATCCTTAACAATTTTCTTTCCAAGTAGACAATGCACATTCAGCCTAGCTGACAATAAGAAAAAATAATGTAGGATCCATAAAGTATAGGAAAAGTGGCTCTGTAATCATTACTTGAAACACATTTTCTATGTTGGTTTTTTGCCTAAAAACAACAAACTGTAAGTGTGAAGCAAATGCAAAGATACTGGAGTGCTTAAAAAAAACAAGTGCTACTACGATGAGTCCATGAATTTTAAAATTAGCATAATGTAATGACATCCAACATTGTGTAAACAGATCTTTAACAGTCATGCATCAGTTGTTTGTTTTAATCATGGTATTTAACACTCTATCTGGCTGATAGTCAAAACAGGGAATTCTACTTGGAACATAACCGATTAAAATCTTTGCTGAAATATGAAATTCACTGGGTGGCATTGGGCAAACTGTTATCTTCCAGCCAATTCTATCAAGGCTGTAGAACTGTTGTTAACGTACAATTAGATATGTTCAAGAACATCTCCTTAGTGCCAGTTTTCTGCATGAGAATAGTTCAATTGTTTTAAGTGCATCTGAACAGCATACAGCCACTCCTTGTTTATCAACTTCCTTGGTTAGTGCCCATTCACAAATACAATGATAATAAACGGTAATAAAAAATTCATTTTCTGACCAATGTGTGCATTTATGACCAAATTTTGTGTGCCTGACAACAAAAGCTTCAGTGTGAAACTGATTCAGGTCAGGTCAGTTTTTGGTAGCAGTGCCAGCCAGCTGAAGGGTTCCAATCAACTAATTAAGGGTGTGAGAGAATGCAAAATGTTGTTTTTGCAGGCAAACTAATTTGACAGTATATGCTTTAAAATAAACCATAATGAGCAACTAGTAGTGAAAGGGGATCTTCCAGACCCCCTGCTTTTCTAAGCAGAACGTATGTAGTGATACAATATGTAGTGATACAATCAAGTTACTAGTCCTCAATTGCTTAGGAGGTTCTTAGCATAAAGTAGTATGGCTTTCTACTAGCCTGCTTAAAATAAGTAAACGAGCTAACATATAAAGGATGTGGCAACATGGAGAGGAAATTGGTGCAGGTGGTTAAAGGAGTCTCTGAATAGGGATTTGAAGAACCAACCTGAGCTGGTTTTGTGGTAATAGTTGAACTAGATCTGAAACCACATCACTGAGCACACTCACTGCTAATATTTGAAGAACCAACCTGAGCTGGTTTTGTGGTAATAGTTGAACTAGATCTGAAACCACATCACTGAGCACACTCACTGCTAATATTTGAAGAACCAACCTGAGCTGGTTTTGTGGTAATAGTTGAACTAGATCTGAAACCACATCACTGAGCACACTCACTGCTAATGCCAAAAGCTGCTATAAAAGGGAATAAATAAATATGGGCAAGGGGCTCCTCAAATAAGGGTAATGGGAGATGTAACCAGGGGCGGAGATTCACGTGGAAGTTTAGGCGCTTCAGATAGGCTGTGCACTTGAGAGTACCCAGCCAATGGGGAAACGAGCCAGAATTGAGCAATGGGTAATGGGGTATAAAAACCTGTAAGATTATATGTTTGGGTGTGCCTACTTTACTGGACACCCGCCTTTGCAAATGTGCTAATAAATATACTTTGCTGCTTCAACCAACGACTCCTTGTTATTTCTTGTGGGACTTCAAGCCAATCAACTATTCTCCACAAGGGGAAAAAATGGGTCAGGCACAAGACACTGTAAGAGAGAACTTTATCTGAATGAGATGGTGGCAGCCAGTGATCTTTGCAGTATCTCTGTCTGTGTGTCGTGTTCACTTAGCCACCATTTCGCTTAACGACAAGTCGCCGGAATAGATTGCAGTTGCTAAATGAGGAGAGGGTGTATAGCTGTTTTAGACTATACACAGGACTCACTGTCTTCTTTGGAAAAACAAATGCTGGACAAGTTATAACTGAAATATGGAATGAAAATTTCCATGACTCCTACTGCTGTTTATGATGCTACATTTATTCCATTTATATTTGTCTCACACAATGGCAAAAGCAAAGAATGAATGAGAAACACTTAGGAAGGGAAAAAAACCCTCTAATTTATATCTTGCAAGTGTATTGATTTATAAAAACTGCCACAGAAGAAACCACATAATTAGTCTTTTAATTATAAATAAGACCATTTTGCTTGACTATCTAAACTGATGTGTTTATATTTGACCATGTTCACAATTAAAAATCACTATAGTTTACAAATCTAATCATTCATCTAAATTGTAAGTATTTATTTTATTAATTCATTAATTTTATTAGATTAAAACTTTACAAATTACTTCTTGATGAATATATAGATGGCTTTACTTTTATAAGTACTTCAAAAGTATCTATTGAGCCAGTCTGGTGTGTGGTTAAGATTCTGGCCTAGAAACCAAGAGACTGTGAGTTCTAGGCCTCTCTTAGGCACGAAAGCCGGCTGGCTGACTTTGGGCCGGTCTCAGCCCAACCCACCTCACAGGGCTGTTATTGTGGGGGGAAAAAAATAGGAGGCAGGAGAAATAGGTATGTTTACTGCCTTGAGTTATAGATAAAAAAGGCAGAATAAAAATCTAATAATAATAATCTATAGTTAAATAGTAGACCACAAGTTTATATAAGAAAAACCAGGATTTTATTACTCCTATTTCTCCCAAGTTCTAGTTTATTACAGTCACTGATCAATGTTTTATACAAATCTAAAATCAAAAAATACCAAGAAAATTAGGAACCAAAGGAAAAGGTAAAATAGATATGTGAACTGTGTAAACAGAGTTTAAGTGCAGTCCTTAAGATATTAAAAAGAAATAAGATGCTAACTGTAGTATATTAATGAAATATAATTACTTAGACATTAAATTAAGAACACCATAGATATTAGTATGTTGAGACAAACTTTATAAACCATAACCTGCCAGAAAAGTGACAGTGAGCTTCCATAATATCAAAAGAAATCAATTTGGGAGGAGGCGAACAACACTTAACTAGTTAAAATTTTAAAGAAATTGGTCTCTGGTTTGACTGCAGACTATCAGTAATTGAAGTACAAATTAAAAAAGATAAAATAAAGATAAAAATATAAGCAGGGTTCCTAGTGAGTTTACCAATGCTTAGTACCCTTAACTATCTGCTTATGGATTTTAATTGCTGCTTCTGCCAAATCTAGCAACATTATATGTGATGAATGATTCCTTATCTGAGGGGGGGAAATCAAGAAGAAAACTTTCATTATTGACCTATAAAACATGTCAATGAAGGAAGAAAGTTTCCAAACTACACTGGTAGTAGGGGCAATATGAAATCACATATGTGATGGTCTCAATAGCATTTGCACTGCATGGGCAGGTCCTATTATTTCCTTCAGGTAGTTTGGACAGTTACGATAGCAATTGGGACCGGAATGTCTGTCGCTAAGTGATGTGATCATAAAGCGCGATGTCATGTGACTGCATTGCTTAGCAACAGTAATCCTGGCAGTCCCCATTGCCGTCATTAAGCGAGGACCATGCAGGTCATTAAGCGAGGATCTCATGTAACCATGATGTGGGAAGAGGTGGGAATCCAGAAGCACTTGTTTATTGCTGCTGAAACCACTTCCCAGGTAAGCAGGCCAGCAAACAAGAGCTATAGGCAGGCACCATGGGCAAGTGCTATGGAGTATGGGTAGAGGTGCTATGGAGTAGAGTGGTGGAGTAGGTGGGCGTGTGTGTGTCATGGGCCGTAGCTACAGAGTACTGGTGGGTGGCTGGGTGGGTGCTGCATGCAGGTGCTATAGAGTACTGGTGGGCAGGTGGGTGCTGTGGGTGTGTATTACAAAATAGAGGCGCATCAGCCCTCCCAGGTAAACCAGACAGGAAACATAACTAGATGAGCTAATTCTACTTTATTGTAAGGCTACATTAACAGAATCTTGCAAGTCTGA